CGACTACCTGGATGTGCTAGCGGAGTATGCTTCGTCGTCCTACCTCGACGGTATTGAAGATACCAAGAAGGCACTCCTGTTGGTGCTGCCAGATTTTGAGATCGAGGGGCTGTAAGTGATCCCCGATGCTCCCATCGAGACTCAGCCAACCGAAGACTTCGTTCCCCCTCCTGCCAACGGTGAGGTGCAGGTGTAGATTTCCCCCTTTTTTTGTTCAATTGGTGTAATACTTTGCTGTTTTTTTTCTTCTTTTTCTTTTTGTGAAGGCAATACAAAACTTTTTGTAAAGGCTATACAAGACCAAAACTGAGTAATGAATGAAGCCATTTTTTGTATCTACTATGCTTTGTGCATGTTGTCTCTTCCCCTTTCTTTCTCTTCTTCTTCCCCTTTCTCCTTTATTTTTTGTGAGAGGTCCTTGCCCCTCCGAACAATCAAGACCATGATACACAAGGCACACACGATTCATTCATAGTACTCATTTATTTGCATGCTCACCTCAAGTAATTGGGACATTGGGAGCCGAGACGGTGTCACACATTCGAAGTGGGGCTCACCTGGCTCCCAAATCCCTTGTGTTAACTTAGGCAAGGCCGAAGGGACCTAGCACCATGGCCGAGGTACTTGGGTAGACGAAGAGCTAAGGTGGAGAAGCACCATCGGGGTGTAGTTCCCCTGACTTGTTCTTACCAAGTGTTTTCTTAGGGAAGGCCAAGGTGTCCCACCGGCAAAGCCGAGGGATTTGTCTCGCTATTTTCTTTGCAATGAGTGCGGGTAGCCGAGGAGGTCACCACACTCCGAGGTGACAAGGCATAATAGGCCTTTCACCTTGGCGCGTATGTCCTGGGTGAGGTGTTGTTTCCCACAATGGCCCGTGCCGAGGGTTTGTCCCTCGGAAGAGGGCTTCCCGTGTCGGCAGGTCTCAAGGTTGCGGGTCTTTTTGGACTTAGGATTCATTCATTCGATCATCCGAAGTGAAGAGGAACTTTGTTTCATTCATTCATTACTTCATCAAAAAATTACATTCATTTGTAGTACCTCCAAAGGTTCTTCAAATTCCACGTCCAAGGGATGGATCTTCCATCTAAATTTTCCAGTCGAAATGTGCTAGGGCTGAGAGCTTGCTTAATCTGGTAAGGGCCTTMCCAGTTGGGGCCCAACTTTCCCACTCTTGGTTCAGGGACCATGACCTTCCTATGGACAAGGTCTCCCTCTCTATAATGCCTTTCTTTCACCCTAGAGTTATAATATCGGGCCACTCGCTGCTGATAGGCAATCATCCTAATCTATGCTTGTTCTCGGGCTTATTCCAATAGGTCTAAGTTCGTTTTGAGCGGCTTGTCATTCTCAGCCTCAATATACCCTTCGATCCGAAGCGTTGGTTGGCTGATTTCTGCTGGGATCACTGCTTCCATGGCGTAGGTCAAGATGAAAGGGATCTCTCCCGTGGTTGTTCGAGGTGTGGTTTGGTACGTCCAAAGGACACTGTGTAGTTCGTCAGCCCACAGGCCTTTAGCTCTATCCAATCTGGTCTTTAGTCTATCTAGGATGGTTTTGTTCATAACCTTGGCCAGGGCATTCGTTTGAGGGTAGCCCACCGAGGTGTACTGTTGTCTAATTCTGAGAGAGGTACACCATTATCGGAATTTAACGTCATCAAACTATTTTTCGTTGTCCATGACCAGCATGTGGGGGAGGCCGAAGCAGCAAATATTGTTCTTCTAAAAGAAGTTCTGAATTGCCCGTGTTGTGATAGTGGCTAGGAGTTCAGCCTCCACCCACTTAGTGAAGTAATCCACAACAACGACAAGGTATTTCTTGCCCCGTTGCTTGAGGGAAGGGGCCGAGGAGGTCCATCCCCCACTTGGCAAAGGGCCAGGGACTGGTGAGGGCCAAGAGGGTGGTGGCTGGTTGATGGTAGAGGTTGGCATGTCTCTGGCATTGGTCGCATTTCTACACCAGCTCAGCCGCATCCTTGTGGAGGGTTGACCAAAAAGACCCTTGCCTTAATGTTTTCTGGGCTAGGGTTCAACCGCTAAGGTGGTTGCCGCAGATGCCTTTGTGAATTTCTCGAAGCACGTACTTGCCCTCCTCCTGGTGGAGGCATCGGATGTAAGGCAAGGTGAAGGACCTCCTATACAATTTACCTTCCAGTAGGGTGTAGCGTGCTGCCTGACGTTGGAGTCTTCTAGCTTCATTCATGTCGTTGAGTAGCCTCCCCATCAGTAGGAAGTCGATGATAGGATCCACCCAAGACGGTTCGGCCTCTACGGGGAGGGTTTGGATGTCCCCTAAGGAGGGCCGAGGTAACCTTTCCACGCGCGCAGTGCGGCCGAGGGCCGCATCCGAGGTGATTGCCAATTTGGAGAGGGCGTCGGCTCGGGTGTTCTTGGCTTACGAGACTTGTTGTAGGGAGAAATGTTGGAAGTGGCAGGCTAACTCTTGAACCTTGGTGAGGTACTTAGCCTTGCTTTGTTCTCTGGCCTCGTACTCACCATTGAATTGATTCACCACCAGCTATGAGTCACTGAGGACTTTGATGTGCTTAGAGGCGAGATCTCTAGCGAGCTGTAACTTTACCAAGAGGGCTTCATACTCGGCTTCATTGTTGGATGCAGGGAATTCGAATCTCAGTGCATACTCTATGACAACACCATCGGGGGTGAGGAGAATGAGGCCCGCTCCACTCCCTTTGGCATTGGATGAACCATCGACAAAGAACTCCACACGGGAGGGGAAGGCTCCTCAGTCGGGCGTGCTTTTTCTGATTCGTCTTCGTGAGACCGGCCAAGGGACCTGCTGAAAGTGCATTCTGCTATAAATTTAGCCAAGGCTTACGCTTTGATCACAGGCCTTGGCTGGTACTGAATGTCAAACTTCGACAGTTCGATCGCCCACTTAATAAGGCATCCCAAAGTCTCTGGATTGGCAAGGACGGCCTTAAGGGTCTAATTCGTTAGGACCACAATGGTATGGGCTTGGAAGTACAGCCTAAGCTTTTTGGCCAAAGTGACGAGGGCATAGGCTAGGTTTTCCACTTTGGGGTACATGGTTTTGGCATCGCAGAGGACCTTGCTAACAAAGTATACAGGTCTCCAGACTCCGTCATCTTTCACCAAGATCGAGCTGATGGCCTCGTCTCCAACTGATAAGTACAAATATAGAGTTTCCCCTAATGCCGACCGAGCAAGGAGTGGGAGTGAGGTGAGGTATAGCTTGAGCTCGTCGAAGGCACGCTGGCACTCCTCCGTCCATTGAAAATTTTTCAGCTTATTAATGGCGCGGAAGAAGGGAAGGCATTGTGGTCCTAACGAAACAGAAGAGGTGAGGTCTACCAACTTTGACATGAAACGGTTGAGGACGGCTATCCTGTCGGTGAGTCGCTAGGTCTCCTTTACTAACCGAGGGGGTGCCATGTCTAGTATGGCCTGTACCTTGTCCGAGTTGGTTTCAATGCCTCTTTGATAGACGACGAAGCCTAAGAATTTTCCCAAGGTAACTCCAAAGGCACACTTGCTTGGGTTGAGCTTCATGTTGAACTTGCGAAGAGTATCAAAGGTCTTGGCCAAGTCCGAGGTGTGTGCTTCAGCCTTCAGGCTCTTCACCACCATGTCATCCACATAAGCTTCGACGTTTCTCCCCATCTGATTCTTGAAAACCTTGTTGACAAGGCGCTAGTAGGTGGCCCTTGCATTCTTAAGGCCGAACGACATTACCTTGTAGCAGTACGTGACATGCTCAGTGATGAATGCGGTCTTCTCCTCGTCGTCGGGGTGCACCTGAATCTGGTTGTACCTGAAGAAAGCATCCATGAAGCTGAGTAGTTCATACCTTGCAGTGACGTTGACGAGGTGGTCTATCTTTGGCAAAGGAAAACTGTCATTCGGGCAGGCTCGGTTAAGGTCTGAGAAGTCAATACAGATCCGCCATTTCCCATTAGCTTTCCTTACCAAAACCACGTTAGACAACCATTTGGAGTAATGTAGCTCACAGATGAAGCCGGTGTTGAGTAGCTTATCAACTTCCTCTCCTATGGCCTTCCATCGTTCTAGTGCAAAGTTCCTCTTCTTTTGCCGAACTGGCCTAGAGCTCAGGTCCATGCTCAACTTGTGAGTAATGATCAAGGGGTCAATTCTGGGCATGTCAATAGTGGACCAAGAAAAGATGTTGGCGTTAATTCTGAGGAAACTTACCAGTTCAAATATGCATTTAGGGGGAAGGTTGGACCCGACGCGGATTGTCTTCTCTAGGGCTGACTCATCCAGGAGAACTGAGATGAGGTCCTTGGCTGGCTGTCCTCGGCTCGCTAGCTCTTCCTAGAGGTTGAGACCTTCTAGTGACAGGGCCTCCTTATTCTTTCCTTTTAGCGCCGCCACGTAGCATTGGCGGGCGATCTGCTGGTTCCCATTTGCAACTCTGACACTATGCTCAGTGGGAAACTTGAGGGCTAGGTGATAGGAGAACATGACTGCCCCTAGTGCATGAAGGGTTGGCCTTCCCATTATTGCGTTATAGGGAGAGGCAACTTTCACCACCAGGAACTCATGCATCTAGGTCACCTGGTATGGTGCTATCCCTACCGTGATGGGTAGAGTAATTTTTCCTTCCGGCCTAATGACGTTGCCGGAGATGCCGACGAGGGGAACGTCGATAGGCTGGAGCCACTCTGGCGGGAGCTTCCTTCTATCTTAGGTGTCATAAAAAAGGATATCGACTGATGAGCCACTATCCACCAAGATCTTCACCATAAAATTGAAGATGATGGTTGCGACCACGAGGGCATCATCGTGGGGAACTGTGACCCCCTCTAAGTCCTCGTTGGTGAAGACGAGGGCATGTGGACAGCTCGGCCTCTGTGGAGATTTTGGGTACTTCTACTTCTTTGGGGCAGGCTCTTGGATGTTAAGTTGCCTGGCGTAGGCTTTTCGAGCCGAGGCCGAGGCTCCACCCGAGGCCATGCCCCCGGCGATGACGTCGATGACGCTTGCCACTTGCTAATGCTAATGTTGGAAGGACGAGGCGTCTGCCTCTCCTCCGACAAACTGCTTAAGGTGTCTGCAACGGATAAGGGACTCTATTTCGTTCTTTAGATCATAGCAGTCTTTGGTGTCATGTCCGGTGCCGCGATGATACTTGTAGTACTTCGTAGGGTTCCTCCTCTTGGGGTTCTGCTTTAGCTTCGTTGGCCACTTCACAAACTTCTCTTCCCCAATTTGCATCAGTATCTGAGTGCAGGTGGAGTTGAGTGGCTTGTAGTCCTTGTAAGCCAAGGCTAGAGCCAATGGCTTCTTGTTGTCTTTATTGCCATGGTTGTCGGGGTGGTGCTGGTCCCCGCCTTTCCTCTTCTTCTCTAGGGGCCTGTCGTGGCACTCGGCTGCCCTTTCTTGGTTGGCCCTGGTCGAAGCCTCTTCGGTCGTGATGTATTTTTGGGCCTTCTTGAGGAATTTGAGCTTGGTCTTCGACGGGGTCTTGGCAACTGATAGTTTGAGGGTCGATCCGGGGAAAAGTCCGTTAATGGCAGTGTGCATGGAGACCATAGGGTCGAGGTCTCGAACTTCGAGCTCTTTCTTCTTAAAGCGGTCAATGTAGGACCGTAGGGTTTCACCTGGCTCTTGTTTGAGTGACATTAGAGAGACTACGCTATTTTGACATCATCTATTGCTGATGAAGCGGGCAGGGAACAAAGTTGTAAATTGCTCCACGAGCTGACAGATCGAGGAGGGAGGCTGGAGAACTAGTGGTGAGCGGCCCCCCTGAAGGTGGCCTAGAAGGTTTGGCACGTCAAGGCATCGGAATACCCGTAGAGTATCATGAGCGCCCTGAAACCCTCTAGGTGATCATTGGGGTCGGTGCTTTCATCATATGTTTCCAGTGTAGGAGCCTTGAAGTGTGGAGGAAGGGGCTCCGAAATTATTTCCGGGGTGAATGCATCCATGCGTCCAGCGGAGTTGTCGTGACTGGTTAAGGCATCAACTCAACTCTCCTTAACCTGGCGGAGCTCGTCTTTGACGGCCCCAATCTCGGCTCGCAACTCGGATAGCCCCGGGACAGCCATGGGCTCCGATTCTATCCTTGCGGACCCGGTGGATGTCAACTCGGCCCTCGAATACTCCAAGACAGGATCGACGCTCCTCTGCGGGCGCGATGATCATTCAGAACGCCCCGAAGATCTAAGACGGGAGGGGGAGTGGCGTGGCATCGGCTCTCACCTCAAGAGCGAACTCTAGGGCGGCCGAGACGCCCGTCGTCGTCCCGGTGAGCCTGAAGGTTGATGACTATCTTTGGATTGAGCGGTTACGCTTTCCCTTCGGCTAGGAGGGCATATGTTTCTTCGTGGTGAATCCGGGGGATGGTTGTTGCCTGATTCTAATGGCTCAACCAGCGAGTTACCATGGCCGAGGGCTGGTCGCTCGACATGCTCACGGCGGCCCTGATCCTTTAACACCCCAGCGGAGCGGTCACCTCGAGAGGGACCTCCTGCTCGGGGAAAAACTTCTTCCATGCGTTGAGTAAGGCGGTCCAAACGATTGAGGACAGCCTGAAACTGTTCATAGGTGACCAGGTTCTGATTGTTCCTGGTTTTCCGCACCATGGCTTTCAAGCTTAAGAGGGCTTGGATTTAGAGTATGTTGTTTTTTTATCCTAAAGTGGGGGTCATCTTAGCAATGATTCCCACAAGCGGCGCCAATTGTTCTCGCACAGATTGGCTGGGGGCAATGAGGTAAATTCACTCTCCAGGTTTCGAATGTTTTCCGAGGAAGTCAAGGCCTCGGAAATGTGAGCCAAAGCCGAGGACCATAGGCCGAGGTGAGGTATTCCTTCCGAGGACTGTGGTAGTCGAGGACTGTAGGCCGAGGCGAGGTCCCTGGTGACTAGAGGTACTGAAAGATAGGAAATGTTAGAGGCCTCGGGCGGGTACCCGAGGCAGAGGCTCTGACGCTCAAGTTAGTACGAGGTGTAAAGTAGGAGAGGGTGCAAGTGAGGTCTTGGTGATAGTCCTCGGATGCACCAGATCTCCTAGAGTAAATGCTAGGGAAGCAAGGTAGGTGCAGGGAGTAAATAAGTTGTATTAGAATTTTCTATTCCGGATCCCCTTTAAGGGGGAGTTACCACTTATTTATACTTGAGCGTACTGGAGGTAGGTGAAGATGAACGCCCCGGATGAAAGCTGTACGAGGTCAAGTGGCAGGCCCTGGTGGATACGTCTGACCGTCATGCGGTTGGCTCCGTACGAAGGCAGTAGGGCTCCCTCCTAGTGTGGCTGACGCTATCAGGCGTTAGTGGGCTGGGCCAAGCTAACCCACATCATATATATATATATATATGGATTTAGTACATAATATATATGGGAAACATATGTAATATGCATGAAAAACATATATATGTACTAAATCCATATATCTCTATCT